GTGTACTGGCGTCGCGCAGCAGTGCACGCCTTGCGTAGAGCTGCCAGCTCTTGCGACCACCAGTACACCTGGCGCTTTTGTTGCCTCGACCGGATCCGGGGCATCGCCACGTCACAGATCCTGGACATGGCGTCCTGGAGCCACTTGGCCTCATCGTCAATGTCGGCAGGCCTGACCGGTGGTATCACCCAGGCCTGCACGATGGCGGCTTCCAGGAGCAGCTCCCGGTCCAGCTGTTTCAGCGCCCAACGCGGGCCACATGGGGCCTGTCTGACCGGCGGGTCTGCGGACTCGGCGGAGACGTCGAACCGGATATACCGGTGGTCGGAGTACGTCTCCACCTCCTCCATGACGCCAGCCAACAATACGCGGTGACAGAGCAGGGCTGGCGAACGAAATGTCCACCACCGACTCGCCCTGCATCCGCACACACGTGGGGACAGAACCCCGGTTCAGGACGACTAGGCCTGTCTCAAGGGCCCAGTCTTCCACCATCCTACCCCGGACGTCGGTGAACCGGGAACCCCAAGCCAATTTTGGCGTTGAAGTCCCCGAGGACGAGCACGGGGAGGGAACGGAACCCGACGACGACAGTGACCAACTCCATCAAGGAGTTGTGGAACTCATACTAATATTATAGATTCAAAAATGTATTTGTTTGTCTGTCTTTCAAGTCGGAATGGGGCGACTTTATGGTATAAGTTTTGATCTGCAGTTAGCAGGCTGGAGAGTAGGTTAACCTATAACTACTGACGTGGGTGTCTCATAGACGGCGTGTTCACGAATATATTTAAGAATTTTCCAAAAAACCGTCCAAATAATTGTGTTGTAGCTAAAATTGTAACATATATTTTTCTAAGTTCAGCGAAATATTTATATTTTAAGTTTATAGAATTTCAATCAAAAACCGCTGATTTCATTCGAAAATGTTGTTTTTTTTGCACTTCTCTAATAGAATAATAATGGACCAATCATAGTACAAGTAAATATTGTGCAAATCAGTAAATAAAAGTCATCCATTTTGATTATTTATTAAGGTGTTTGACATACGTCATGTCACCATTTATGGTATGAGTAAACCATGTCAGGACTTGAAGGTTAAGGTATCTTTTTCCTTCAACGACGCGGGCAAAGCCGCGGGCAGGAAGCTAGCAATCAATATAATTGATTGTAATACACTTTTATGTAATGAATTTGTCATTGAATGATTGATGTCGTATTCAAAAATAGCGCATAAAACTCTTTATCAGAGTTTAAAATTGAATGCGATTGTTTTGTTTTTCATTCTCGTAGATTGTATAATTTTGTTTTTGCTAAGAATTTTAATAGAAGAACTTCAAAAAATGTCTACTGAATCGGCCACGTCAGTAAACGCTTTAGAATAAGTTTAGGGTGCGTCCACATCTTACCGAACCGATACGACCTTCAAACCTTCAAGAAAAGAAGTCTACTGTTCGTTTTGCATTACGTATATATTTTAATACTTCTTCATTATATTTAATTAGTATATTATATTGTGTGATGTGTATAATTATATATGATGTTAATGTTAATTTTAATGTTAATGTTAATTATATCTACATGTCAATGTATGATCAAAACTCACAAGTGTTAAACGTTTGCACCTACTATTCTGTCTCTCTGCATCACCCTAAGGTTGACTGTTAGAGAATGCCACTAGGCATTAAGTCCGCCATTGTATACCTACGAGAAGTGTAAATAAATAAAAAAGAGCGTATTCCTTTTTATAAGGCCGGCAACGCACCTGTAACTCCGCTGGTGTTGCGGGTGTCCATAGTTGGCGCAGATTTCTTACCACCAGGTGATTTACTCATATGTCGACCCATACCATGAAAAAATCTCATCCTGATAGAGACAAGTCTATCCTACAACATACATACATAACTTCACGCCTGTCTCCCATGGGGGTAGGCAGAGACTAAGGAACGCCAATTACTACGATTCTTACATGCCTCTTTCGCTTCATTAACAGTCATCAATCTTTTCATGCATGCTCGTCGGTTAAGGGTACTTTTAATTTGGCCCTTCTTTAATATATCGCCAATCTGGTCACTATATGTCCGTCTAGGACGCCCTCTACCGACAGCCCCATTCATATCCGCTCTGTATACTTCTTTCGTTACTCTACTTTCATCCTACAATACTAGTTATAATAGATTATTGGACACGTAATTCAATATAATAGCAAATTTTGTCATCGTATCGATTTATTTAAGTGTGGGAGAGCCATGCTTCGGAACGAATGGGCCGACTAGACCGGAGAGATACCACGGCCGAGCAGAAAACTACCGTGAAACAACGCTTGTGTTGGGTTTCGTCGTGTGAGTGAGGTTACCGGAGGCCCAATCACCCCTCCTCCCTAGTCTCCCCAATACCCGAATCCTCTACAATCCTCAAATTCCCAATTCCCAAAAGGCCGGTAACGCACTTATTACGCCTTGGTTTTTCAGGTGTCCATGGGCGGCGCCGATTGCTTACCATCAGGTGATCCGTCTGTTCGTTTACCGGCTTATGCCATAAAATTTTATATGATAGGTGTGCCTGTTTTATCAATTATATAGATAATTATAATATGTGCTGCCTTCCAATCGCTCGCAAATCAATTAAAAACAGATAGCGTCTAATGACAATTATTATCTTTTAATCTTTTAAACTAAAAGTGTTTTTATATAGTTAGGAGTAATTATATGTAGTACTTATTGTTTTCGTATTAACTATCTCTTTTTATTATATGTATAAAAAAGGAAAATGTAGCTGTATGTTTGTATGTAAGCGTTTAACTCCTGAGGAGCTGCGCCGAATAGAATGATGTTTCATTTTTACCGACTTCAAAAAAGGAGGAAGTAAGTACTATGTTCAGCTGATTGTTTTTTTTTCTGTCATTATTATGGGCAAGGACAATGTTGTTATCGATTCCGATTGATTTTTAGAGAACAGAAAGTATAGTTCCCTAAGATCGGAAAAGGAGGATCCTCCGACCAAGCGAGGTGATCGTGCCTGGCGGGCTTTCTGCCCAACAGTTGTTCGTTGGGATTTTCTATCCATGTTAAATCGAATGTAAACTTTGCATGTGCGATATAGGATTTTATAACATCATGTGACATGTCACATGATGTTATAAAATCGACGCATGCGTCGCCACAGATTTAACGTACCATTAACAAAATAAAATAATTAACTAAAAATCGCGGGTTAGTCACGTGGATATACTGAGAACAGCTCATACGCGACATCGCCGCGATCGCGCACACTGCTCATGAAGAAAAACTCCTAGAAGCCTAGTTTCAAAGATCTAAGCATACATACGGACAGATAGATGGCGGATAGCGACTTTGTTTTAAACTATGTAGTGATTATAAGGATGCTCACGGAACAATGGCGACTGCAGTTGATAAAAATGTATTTAGAATCATTCTTTTTTTAGCTAGCTTCAGTGGAGTAGCTAGGGGGGGGGGGTTCTAAAAACTAAAAAAAAGTAAAAGAAAATTGGTTCAACCTATTGGGATGATGACAGGGTATGAAAATTAAAAATATAATTAATCAGTAAGTTAGGTAATGAAAAAATATTAGACACGTATTTTTTTATTTTGTCGTATAATAAAACAATACTTAGATAAAACGAATCAAAATTTAGGAGTGGGGGCTCAAACGTCATCTCTACGTATAAAATGTACATAGAAGTGACGTCACGCGACAAATTTAAATCAATATATTGTCGAAAGTATTCGTTTCTGTTAGAAAATAAAAAATACGTGTCTAATGATTTTAAATAATCCACCAGACGGACATTAAAATAAAAATTAGGCATCTACCCTATTGTCTACTACACGATTCGTATTTCATCCAGCCACAATGAGGTTTTATTTCGAAAATCGGTAAGAAAAAAAAATATATTTAATTGAAATAAAATAAATGCTTTGACTTTTTTGACAAAGTTGTTTGCACGATTGGCGCGGTGGCTGGGTAATGGGCTGCCGCGCAACGTGTAGTGTGTTTGATTCTCGTATGGAGCAACTCTTTGTGTGATCCATTTTTTTTTTAAGGGGGGAATATCATCGAATGACTGCTCCCGCCTGGGTGAGGCGGAAGGGAGTGTCAGACTCTTACTGACTAAAAACCACCCCGTTCCTTCTCCTGCACGTCGAGCCGGAGCCCCGGTTACCCGTTAGGTTCTCCGCGATTCCGAATTGGCATCGGCCCTATTGGGCCCCATCTGTGGTGGTCTGATGGCTCTTTGAGGCGCGCGCGGAACGCGATGCGCCGTACGCTCGAGTCTGTTTCTGGTCGGCCGGTGTGTGTGATCCATAAATTTTTGTTCCGGTTTCAAATCAAAATATCGTTGAAAGTATTCCATTCTGTAATAAATTAAAAAATACGTGTGTAATGATTTAAAATAATCTACCAGACGGACATTAAAATAAAAATTAGGCATCTACCCTATTGCGAGATATTAGCGGACAAACATAAATAGGTACAAGTAAAACTAAGAACCTAATTTTTTGAAGTAGGTTAATGAATGATGACTGCCTCGTTGGCCGAGTGGGCGCAAGTGGGACTGCTGGTCAAGAGGGTTCAATTCCCGGGTCGAGCAAAGTACTACTGGGTTTTTAAAAATCTCAGTAGTAGCACGGAGTCTGGATATGTGCCCGGTATATGGCAATAGGCTCACCCCCTATTACATGGGACTCATAACATAAATAGTGAAAAGTGGGTGTTACATTGTACAGTGGCATTAAGTGTCGTAATGTGCACATCTGCCTACCCCTTCGGGGATAAAACGCGTGATGTTATGTTATGTTATGTGTTAATGAATAAAATATAATCAAGCGAAACAATGTAACGTAACTAGTAAAGTAACAAACAGACGCATCGATACCTAAGCATAATTAGTGACTTTTCAAATTATAAATTTATCTATACAGAGATACGGAGCTACATAAATATGCTTGCTTTTATTATATCTGTACAAAACTGCAACAATGGTGTCCTGGGTAGCTGCCGTGTTGGTTTTCAGTGCAGCGGTGGTTTCGGGTGAGTTAAAAACGATTAAATTGTTTATTTTATGTTATAAGCCGGTAAACAAACAGACGGGTCACCTAATGGTAAGTAATCGGCGTCGCCCATGGACACCTGGTACACCAGAGGCGTTACAAGTGCGTTACAGGCCTTTTGGGGAATTAGGAGTTTTAGGATCGTTAGGGATTCAGGAATTGGGGAGATTGGGGAAGGGTAGGGTAATTGGGCCTCCGGTAACCTCACTCACACGACGAAACACAACGCAAGCGTTGCTTCACGTCGGTTTTCTGTGTGACCGTGGTAACACTCCGGTCGAACCGGCCCATTCGTGCTGAAGCATGAGTCTCCCATAAAAAAAGGTGTAAACAATTGTTGGTTAACCAAAAATAAACAACTCTCTATAAAATTCAGATACTTTACGCCAGTAAGCACCTAATGATATAATTGCGATGACTAATTTTTATTTTAATGTCCGTTTGGTAGATTATTTTAAATCATTAGACACGTATTTTTTATTTTCTTACAGAAACGAATACTTTCGACGATATATTGATTTGAAATGTCGCGTGACGTCACTTCTTTGTACGTTTTATACGTAGAAATGACGTTTTAGATCCAACTCCTAAACTTTGATTCGTTTTATCTAAATATTGTTTTATTATACGACAAAATAAAAAAATACGTGTCTAATATTTTTTCATTACCTAACTGACGGTCTAATTAGATTTTTAATTTTCATACCCTGTCATCATCCCTTATGTTATAGATAGGTACCTAAGCCTATTATCATACAATCATAAATATATCTTTGCAATATTTAGGACTTTCCTACCAGACCAAGTTGTAGGTATTCTATCTTTAAATCAAATTAAATCAAATAGTTTCACTTTCCTAATCGGCTCATTTAGATAACAATGTAGATAATAATAGTTAAAAGTCATTCTATTGGTGACAGTAGCAACATAACATAACATCACGTCTTTTATTCCCAAAGGGGTAGGCAGAGGTGCACAATGCGGCACTTAATGCCACTGTACAATGTAACACCTACGTTAGGAGTCACATGTAATAGGGTATGAGCCTATTGCCATATACCGGGCACAGTTCCAGACTCCGTGCTACTACTGAGAATTTTTTTAAAACCCATTAGTACTTTGCCCGACCCGGAAATCGAACCCGAGACCCCTTGTCCGGCTCGCACTTGCGATCACTTGGCCAACGACGCAGTAATACTAATCAATCATTAAAAATAAGAAAAACTAAATACTCCTGCGTAGTTTCTTCCGCTGCTCAACTCCTATTGATGTTTCAGCCTATAGCTTTCCTCGATAAATGGACTATCCAACACAAAAAGAATTATTCAAATCGGATCAGTAGTTACTGAGATAAACGTGTTCAAACAAACATACAATTTTTTTTTAACTTTCCTTTATTAGTAACTTTTGAACACAGTTCACGCCAGTTCCATCATAACTAAAACCTATTTTACGAATGGCAAAAAAACAAAATACATTAAGGACTAGAACTACGTATATAAATAAAAATATTCTATGTAAAACTAAAGACTAAAAGGGCATTGACTAAAATTGGTGCCTTTCTTTTTTCTGGCGGCAGTCGATGATTTATGGAAAATATTATCTAGAAAGTCGTTACAAACGAAATTGTCTATGGGCTCATATATGGAAATCTCAGTCTGGAATGAGTTATGAGCGTTGAAAGGAGCTGGAGTCAAACATTTTAATTTGGATTTTTTATTCAAATTATTCATATTTTTGTCACAATTCCTAACTTCAAATTGCGCGCCATTGTACGCCGGACACAGGAACACCATATAACACCACAATATATCCATATTGCCAGGCACTAATTTTTATTAGCTATTTTCTCTCAGTCGATAACTTGTGGGATGCTTCTAGGAGTTGTATAAGGAAGCTTCATGAGCGTCAGCTGTCGTAACCGTGGTGGGTTGGGTAGTGGTAGCCGTCCAAACATCTAATAAAGTATTATTTTTTTGCCGTTGACTCCTGGTGGGAGACTCATCTACTTTATAGTTAGCATAATCTTTTGAAGAAAGGAAACCGTCGACTTTGTAAAGTGATGGACTATGATGACACCACCCGTCAGATGAGCGCAAAATTTTTTCATGTAATGTGATCAGTCGTAATATAATCCATCACTTTGTGACTGAATGACGATATCTTTGTACAGAATCTTATGCTAGATGTAGATTAAAGTATTAACTGTAGTTAGATTAGTTACTAATCCGGAGTAAGTCGGAAGAGGTAGACAGAAAAATGATTTTTTGAGTTTTGATGACTGCCGCTACTCAATCCGCTACCGACGCTGCAGCTGACAACCATAGCATTTCATGATAGGGCTCAGTAAAGTATTTTGCGAGTTTTCGACTGAGAGGAAATTGATCATGAAATCTGTCGTAGGCCATAAACCGTATAGTTACATATAAAGTGAACACACTAGCCAATCAAGCGAAATGTTTTTTTTACTTCAGCAGTAGCCAGTTAGTGGTTCACTCGGTTCTGATTCCGTGGCCTTATAACAAAAAAATAAAAAAAAATAAGTAAAAAAGTTCACAATAAGCTTTATTATATTTGTTGAAATCGTTTATAAACATTTATTATAAAATATTTCTGACAAGTAAATGAAAAATATACGTGTACGGTAGGTTATCAACAAAATAACAGGAATATTATAGCACTATTTTCACATCTTTGAACTGATTTAACTCGGTTTGGACTGTGTTTTTGATATAAGACCCTATATATTTTTTTGTTTGTAATGTTATCCTGCATCAGTTTTTCCACATTCGATCAACTGCCGCGAAAAAACAAAAAGGCACCACGCTCCATACAAATTTGGTCATTGTCATTTGTGAAGCAAAGGAATATATTCTCTACGAGAGGCTAATGCATAAACCATTGCAGCTTAATATCTTTTTTTAATGTGACAAGCCCGCCACAACTTCCCAAAACCGCTGCAACTTCTGTAAGCCAGGATCTACAGTAGACACAACCATGAAAACACCGGAACACTGAAGTCTAACGTCCCAGGGACATGAATAACTGTCTTGGTTCCCGCAACGAAGTGAATCAGAAGATATTATAAGAGGAGAAGATAAAAACGATAGTTTCCACTTCCCTCGGTGAATTACTACAGGAAATAGAATGAATTACAATAGGCTTAATACCGACTGGGCTTCACTCAGTTGTACAGTCTCTTTTTTGTGCCTTTTTTGCAGCTTCATATACATATAAACTCTTTAGTTTTACAAAGTAGAATAAAACAACAAAGTTAGTTCTTTTATAAAATACGTTAACCGTCTTCAATCCCCCTCCATTTTTAAGTCGTTTTTTTTATCACCTGATGGTAAGCAATCGGCATCGCCCATGGATACCTGGAACACCAGAGGCGTTACAAGTGCGTTACCGGCCTTTTGGGGATTAGGAGTTTGAGGATCGTTGGGGATTCAGGGATTTAGGAAGGGGAGGGGGTAATTGGGCCTCCGGTAACCTCACTCACACGACGAAACACAACTTAAGCTTCACGTCGGATTTCTGTGAGGCCGTGGTATCACTCCGGTCGAGCCGGCCCATTCGTGCCGAAGCATGGCTCTCCCACACTTAAAGTAAAAGTGTTTATTTATTAAACACTTTTCTGAAAACTATAACAAAATCAGTTCAGCCGTTCGCGAGATAATCACGAACGTACATATATACAGACGCCTTAGTACGAGTATATTTTACTTTTAAAGTAATCGTAACGAGTACGCGTTCGGCGCTGTAATTGGTTGGTTCATTGGCACCGGCCAAAGTCAAAGTCAAAGTCAAAGCATTTATTTCAATTAAACCATAGTTTGGTGCTTTTGAAACGTCAACAAATACAAAATAAATAATAGTCTGTCAGTCAGTCCGTCAGTGAAACTAGGTGAAGCTAGGTGCTCATTCCAAAAAGTAGATTCGAATGGAGAAGAACGAGCAAGAAATTCCATTCGTTACTCTTTTTAAAAAAAGTATGTTCTACAATGTCTCTGATACATATTTCAATATTGTACGCATATGTAAGAACAATGCAAAGACATGCTTGACGAATTATACTAATAACTTACTAAAATTAAAAAAATATATAAAAATCTTGAAGTCCAACATGGTGCTCACATATGCATACTGACAATCCATAGAATTAGTGCTTCTATACAAGAAAAGGAAACTCTTTGTTTCAATAAAGAAATGGCCAATCAGAGCGCCGAACGCCTACTCGTAGCGAATACTTTAAACGTAAATTAAACTCGTACTTACGCCTCAGGCCAATCATCCTTATCCTTACTAATATTGTAAATCGGAAAGTGGGTTTGTTTGTTTGTTTGTTCCGCTTTCACGCCGTAACTACTAAACCGATTGCTTTAAATTTTTGCAGACGTAAAGTTAGAAGTCTGGATTAAATAATAGGGCATTTTTTATCCCGGAAAAATTTTATATTCTCGAGGGAAGACGAAATTATTGGTATAGATGGCGCTGTGTGTATTGGTATATGTCACATAGGCTACTTTTATCCTTTTGTGTTTGTAATACATACATTTTAACGATTTCAAAAGTGCCACGCGAAGGAAATCGCGGGTTCTGTTATCACGATAAATCAGTATTAGAGATTATATTGAATGATGTATTAACTTTATCATTATTTATTAGCAATGTTTCAAGGAAATCTGTTTTAGAAATAATTCATTTGTTTTGCTGGCTACTGATTAGCTAATCTCTTGGCAGCTGTTTTTTTTTTGAGGGGGGAAAATCATCGAATGACTGCTCCCGCCTGGGTGAGGCGGGAGGGAGTGTCAGACTCTTACTGACTAAACGCCACCCTGTTCCTACTTCTGCGCTTATCTCTGAAACAACTAGTTTGATTTGAATAATTATTTTTGTGTTGGATAGTCCATTTATTGAGGAATACTGTAGGCTATATAACATCACGCTACAATCAATAGGAGCCGAGCAGAAAGTGAAAATGCACGGAAGTAGCTAGTAATAACATAAATGGCAAAAATAATAAAATTGTTCTTATATAATTTGTTTGAATCGATTTTTTATGTGATAAGTCGAGGTAAACGAACAGACGGATCACCTGATGGTAAGCAATCGGCTTTGCCCATGGACACACGGTACACGAGAGGCGTCCAAATTACGTAACCGACCTTTTGGGGATTAGGAATTTGAGGATTGTTGGAGATTCAGGGATCACACTTTTTTGGGGGCGGGGGCTAAAAAAGTGTGCCAAACACTTTCCTAAAAACCACATTGAAATCGGTCCAGTCAATCGAGAGATAATTGCACACAAACATTCATACAGGTCAGACTGAGAACCTACATTTTTGAAGTCGATCAAAAAAATAAATGTTCTATTTTGTTTTGTTCCCAGCTTACCCTGCCAACGACCCCGTCATAGGAAAATGGTCTGAAGGTCTTCGCTATGACTACTTGGAAGACGACGCCGGCAAAGTCCACCTTGTGGATAACTGGATGAAAGTCAGCGACTTCGACAGGCTGGCCAGATACAACCCCGATGCTTCTAACAGATACCATCTTTTCACCAGGTATGTTGAATATTTTATTGCGAGATACCAACTTCACGAGTGGTCGCAAGTGCGACTACCGGGCAAGGGGTCTCGGGTTTGATTCCTGGGTCGGGCAAAGTTGTAGTGTGTGTGACACCTCGCCCTATAAGTAAATAGTGTAAGTTAGATATTAAGACACTTAATTAAAGTTACTCCTAACACTAAGACGTCTCCCTCATTGCTCCACATTGCATGGAGACCCTGCCAGGATCACTGGGTTTTTAAAATAATCTCAGTAGTAGCACCGGAGTCTGAAAATGTGACCGGTAATTATGGCAATAGCCTCACCTCCTATTACACAGGACTCGGCCAACGAAGCAGTCGTTTTCCTACATCTAACATACTTAATTTATTAAATTGATCAAAGTATCACTAATGCATGAAGATCTTACAATATATAGGGCAATGGCTGCAGACGAAGTGGGATTCATTAAAATAGATGAAAAACAACCAACATTTAACGCATTCAAATTAAATTCACGTATCAGTGATTCACGGCCACCACCATATTTGCTACATTCCTTCTTTACCTAAGAAGAGGGTTTTAATCCAAACCTACATAACATAACATCACGCCTTTTAACCCCGAAGGGGTAGGCAGAGGTTCACATTATGCCACTGTACAATGTAACACCCACATTTCACTACTTGTTATGAGTCCCATGTAATAGGGGGTGAGCCTATTGCCATATACCGGGCAACTCTCCAGACTCCGTGCTACTACTGAGGTTTTTACAAGCCCAGTAATACTGTTATTGGGTTTTAAAAAAAAAATTATCAGCGACAACTCGGCCAATGAGGCAGTCAGTTAATAAAAAAAATTAAATAAAATAATAATCTTAAACTGTCAAACACCAAGCGGTCACCGGTGACCGCGACCTATTGTTCTTAAATTGTGTCTATAAAACCGGTACTCGACGAGTTAATTAACATTTAAATAACTTAATATATACAACGTAAGTTTTACGAATTCACTCACATTGCAACACAATACATCTACCCTTTCATGAACTTCATTCACTACACTCATATCGTATTAAATTCACGTATCAGTGATTCACGGCCACCAACATATTTGCTACATTCCTTCTCTACCTAAGAAGAGGGTTTTAATCGAAACCTACTCACAGATTATTAAACCTTAACCTTGAATACTTCCAGGGCTAACCCCTCAATCAGTCAGCCTATCGTCCTGAACAATGCTGCCACTGTCCACAACTCCAATTTCAACGCTCGTCGCCGCACCATCGTGATGATGCATGGTTTCGCTGGTTCCATCACTTCTGGGTTCAACACTGTGCTTCTGCCAGGTAATAGGAACTGTTAACTGCATTTTTTTTTTTTTAAATAGCGAAAATAGCGATAGATAAAAAGGCGTGATGTTATGTTATGTTATTTAAAGTACATTGACGATTATAGGTAAGAAAGAAAGAAAGAAAAATAATTTATTCGCCACCAGACATGGACCACCAAAAATTTACATACAACATAAACATTGAAAAACAAGAATAAAAAGAAAACAATATAAAAACATAAAATAACAAATAAAAAAAAAACAACAATAAGGCAAAAAAAAACATTATAAAAAAAAGCAAAATAAAAGAGACCGGGTGGCAGCATGTCCACGACGAAAGGGCTCGCCAACTCAGTGTAAGCTGGGCACAGTAAGTACCCAACACTGGTTTTCAGTTGGAAAGGAAAAAAAAGTACATAGTACAAAAATAAAATACAATTTATTCCTATTTAGTATTATATTTCATAATATATTTTTATTGCTTTTTGCCTTTTGTATTAAATAGTAGCTTTATTAAACAATTGCATCTTTACTAGAAAATGCCTAAGTGGTGCTGGCAAGTGGTGAAATCGATTCAACATAAATCGATAAAATAATATCGATATCGAATCGATAAGTTTACCGAAAAATACTTACGTCTTCAATAGAAATTAGGTTTGCAAAAATAAAGTATTTTCATGTACTTTATTATTTCTATAAAGTATAGAGTACAATTACCTTAAATAACGTACTTTATTATAAAGTACGGGTGGCAACCCTCGTAAAGTAGTATCACATCACACGGTTGGTGCGGTGGCTGGGCAACCGGCTACCGCGCAACGGGCAGCGGGTCCGATTCCCGCACGGAACAACTCTTTGTGTGATCCACAAATTGTTGTTTCGGGTCTGGGTGTCATCAGAAAAATAAAAGAATTGACTGCACGGTTGGTGCGGTGGCAGGGCAACGTGTCGCGGGTTCGATTCCCGCACGGAACAACTCTTTGTGTGATCCACAAATTGTTGTTCCGGGTCTGTGTGTCATGTGTATGTGAACTTGTATGTTTGTAAACACACACACGATACAGGAGAAAATCCTACTGAGGGGCAACGTTTTTTTAAAGAATAAAAAAACAAATTATATTATATTAAATGACTTATTTTGGTTGCAAACATGGTTTAATAATAAATAATAGGTGTTTAATATATACGGGTCAGGGTCACAGGTAGTGAAGGAATACCGCGGTGGTTTTAGCCGGTAAGAGTCCGGCACGCCCCCTCGTCGTCCCCGCGACGTGGGAAGTCCATGAGTCCATTTAAAAGAAAGTATTAGGGTAGATGACTAATTTTTGTTTTAATATCCGTCTGGTAAATTATTTAAAAACATTAGACACGTATTTTTAATTTCCTTACGAACACAGATACTTTCGACGATATATTGATTTGAAATGTCGCGTGACGTCACTTCTCTATGTATGTATATTTTATACGTAGAAATGACGTTTTAGCCCTCACTCCTAAACTTTGATTAGTTATATCTAAGTATCATTTTATTATACAACAAAATAAAAAAATACGTGTCTAATATTTTATACAACAAAATAAAAAAATACGTACCTATCTAATATTTTTTCAATACATAACTGACGGACTAATTAGATTTTAAATTTTCATACCCTGTCATTATCCCAATCGGGTACTTGCCAACTAGTCAAATTCAATACTTTTATCGAACTGTCAAAAACGACGTCAGTTTTCTATGAATTTTGTACGAGATTGTGTGTGTGACGTCACGTTTTATAGTGTCAAACAGCATACTTATTTCTTAAAAATTTGCTGGAATAATACTAAAATTAAGTTGGTCATAAAATCTACTATATAAAAATAAGTCGGGTTTTCCTTCCTGACGCTATAACTCCAGAACGCACGAACCGATTTCCACGGTTTTCCATTCGTTGGAAAGGTCTCGGGCTCCGTGAGGTTTATAGCAAAAAATGTTACATAAAACGAAGCCATCTGGTGGCGAAACGGAGTTCGCCGGGTTTGCTAGTCAATTAATAAAAGTGAGATTATTTTTTAATATTTTAAGTAGCAAATACCCAATTGTTTCTGTTTTTCTTTCAAAATGATGTTAATATTGATAAACAAGTACTTAAAACTTTGGTATCTCTGTCACAGCTTTCTTGGCTGCTGAAGACGTCAACGTCATCATCCTGGACTGGAGTGCCGGATCTTCCTGGGGACCCCGTGCCATCCAAGCTGGTAAGTTTCTACTAAATATCTTATTGATTTTAATACTTGAAACGTTTTAAAGTTTCTCAAACATATCCTCAACTCAAGGATAAGATAATGTATTAACTCGTCGAGTACCGGTTTTATAGACACAATTAAAGAACAATAGGTCGCGGTCACCGGTGACCGCTTGGTGTTTGACAGTTTAATGACTGTAAAAAACATTTTTAAAGAGTAACGATAGAGTTTCTTCCTCGTTCTTCTCCATTCGAAACTACGCTTTGAAACGAGCGTCTAGCTCCACTGATAGACGGACGGTCGACGGACTGAATTCAACTCTTGAAATTTCCTGTCGATTACCTAATAGAAATAAATTTGTCTTTGACTCAATTGAAGCAAAAGGAAGGAGCTTAAAATAGTATATTTGCTCGTTCCGAGGTGTAGATTCCTATGGAGAAGAACAAGCAAGAAACTCCTCATTTCGTCACAACTGCCTCGTTGGCCGAGTGGTCGCAAGTACGGCTGCCGGGCAAGGGGTTCGATTCCCGCGCCAGGCAAAGTATTACTGAGTTTTTCGAATAAATATCAATAGTAACATGGAGTCTAGAATTGTGCCCGGTATATGGCAATAGGCTCACCCCCTATTACATGAGACTCATAACATAAATAGTGAAAAGTGGGTGTTACATTGTACAGTAGCATTAAGTTCCGTAATATGCACTTTTGCCTACCCATTCGGGGATAAAAGGCGTGATGTTATGTTGCTGCGGTGGCTGGGCAACTGGCTGCAGCACAACGTGTCACGGGTTCGATTCCCGCACGGAACAACTCTTTGTGTGATCCACAAATTGTTGTTCCGGGTCTAGGTGTGGATATTGTATGTTTGTAAACGCACCCACGACACAAGAGAAAATCCTAGTGTGGGGCAACGTTTAAAAAAAATCTTCCTTTCATTCTGTCGTCTTAAGTACCTTCATGTCCTATCTATTTCCAGGTCAAGCCGCCGGTAGATTCATCAACTGGCTGAACTCCATCACTGGGGCCACCGCCAACAACTACCACGTGATCGGCTACAGTGTGGGCGGCCATGGAGCTGGTATCATCGCTAGAACCATCAACGGCAATGTCGGTTACGTCACTGGTAAGTTATAAATAGCAGAGCAGATAAATTGCATTTATTTGTTCACCATTTTAGTCTTTTTGTGTATACGGGACGACAGATTAGATAGACACTGCAGGGCACAGATATTTACTGGACCTTTTAAAATTCTATATGTTAGGGAATAGGTTGCTTATGGGACGACATGCTCCATCGTAGACCGCATCATCGCTTACTACCAGGCGAGATAGTGGTCAAACGTCGTCCCATCAAATATAAAAAAAAACTAACTGCGATCTTGAACTCGATTGTCCAGCCTTATACTTATTATATAAAGTGGAAGAGTTTGTTTTTTTATTTGTTTGTTTGAACGCGCTAATCTCCGGAACTAAAAGTCTGATTTGAATAATTCTTTTTGTGTTGGATAGCGCATTTATCGAGGATGGCTATAGGCTATAAAACATCACGTTACGACCAATAGGAGCTGAGCAGAGCATGTGAAACCGCGCGGAAGTAGCTAGTAGTATGATATGATATTCCCTCTTACGTAAATAATGACTATAGTACAGAAGTGGTCTGAAGTGTTAAGTTATACTGATAGATTCATCATCAACAGCGGGTCACAGTCAACTTTTTTTCATATATTCGATGGGCCGACGTTTGACCACTATCTCGCCTGGTGGTAAGCGATGATGCGGTCTACGATGGAGCACGCCTACCCACGAGTAACGTATTCACTCGGGTCTTGAAGACGCCCAGGTTATACCCTTCAGGAAACACAGACTCTGGCAAAGAATTCCACTCCTTAGCAGTACGCACTAGGAAGCTTGATGCGAAGCGCTTCGTCCGTGTGGGTGGGACATCTACCACGAATCGGTGACGCTTCGCCGATTGTCTTGTGGTACGATGATGGAAAGGACTAGGGGGAATCAAGTTGTGCAATTCTCCCGCACACTTACCGAAATGCATCCGGTGCTAGACTAATGGATATTTAAGAATCTAATAATAATATCTCTATTATAAGAAGATTTACTATAATCTCCTCGCCTGGCATCACTTGAAGTCTGGCTTCGGCTTGAAGATCACAATTTAAAACGTCCAGATTATCAGAGAGCGCCGTTGTCCGGAGTCGATAATTTCACTAACACGGTGAAACACAACACTTTGGTAGTTACACACCGGGTTTTTCTGAGATCGTGGTATTCGTGGTATCACTATTATCGATCATAGTCAATTTAAGATGAAACATGACTCATACTAAATTAACTAAAATTGCGGGTTACGCACGTGAATATACTGAGAAAAGCTCTACTAGTTTCGAACCACAGAGGGTTCTTCCTCATGAGCAGCGTGCGCGGTCGCGGCGATGTCGCGGTTCTCAGTATATTCACTTGAGTATCCCGCGATTTTAGTTAACACGTTAAACGCCATGGGGGTCACCGGTGACGCGTTAGCGGAGGATTTACCTTCAACAGTTTTTTATTGGCAGTCAAAGTCTTAATTTAGTATGTCTCACTATAGTTATTATAAAAACATGACTCATATTTATAAATATTGGCTCAGCTTCTTACTAAACACCATTTCTCCTCAGGTTTGGACCCCGCCGACCGTTGGGACACCGCCTGGCTGTTCAGGCCCAATGACGGACTTTACACTGAAGTTATGCACACCAATGGAGGAGACAGTGGCTGGCTGAACCCTCTTGCTCAGGTCGACTTCTACCCTAACGGAGGTCGCCAGATGCCTGGATGTATGACTTCTCTATGCCATCATTACAGGTAACCTATAATTCCTTTTATAGTACGAGAGATGACGACCAAAACCATGTCTCATAGCAATACGGCAAAAACCCTATAAAATCGTTAGATTGTATGATTCTGAACCCGACTAGGTGTGTAGTAACGGTCGAAAGTGTAGCAACTGCGTGGGAGGCCATTTCTGCTGTGTCAAAAATATCTGAGTATCGAAAAGTTGTCTGATAGAGCTTATGCTATAGCTGCTACACTTATTTTGTCTGATATAATTTTTTTGCACATGTGGACAACTTATTTTATAATCTCCAACAATTTTCAGACATCTTGCCGTGATACCGATCGGTAAAATTTGGTAACATTTTCAAAACGGTCTCAATATTTAATGCGTTCACATTTCCGTCTGAAAATTGTTTTGTTCGCATCAAATAACCAAAATTTACTAATAAAAAAGGTTTTCAGACGTATTGCTATGAGACATTTTTTTTGTCTGGTGTTTTTGTGGTCAGATCAAACGCTACGCGGAAAATGTCTGATATTGGTATTTTCGAGTTCAGGATAATCGTATCTACCGATTTGAGGCGGTTTTGGCCGTATTGCTATGGGACAAAAATTTTGGTCGTCATCTCTCGTACTATTAACTTTTCCAGTCAGTTTTTTATGGTATATGAGACAGATCACCTGATGGTAAGCACTGGGCATCTCCATGGATGCATTGCTGACCTGTTGAGGATTTTTAGATTTTAGGATTTAACTTAGAAATACTATTGTCATATAAAAGAACTTATTACTTTAGCTGGTATTTATCTATCTATCTATCTATCTATACATATAATAAAATCGCAGGAAATTGAAAACTGTACATCGATTTATTTTAAAAGAATGCTTTGGGCGTGATCTACAGTCGATACTAAAACTCGTTTATTTGTTTGTCTGTATGTATGTCCGTGATGAACTCAAAAAGTGTTGCATGGGTTTACTTCAAATTTTGCATCATCATATACCTATCATGTACGGGGGAGGAGCCATATACTAGGCACTGAATCAATTCTGACGACATTCGTTGTCGTAGAATATCCCTTGACAAAGACTAATTCAAAATTAAGTAAAAACGCGGGTTACTCACGTGAATATACCGAGAAATGCTCTACTAGTTTCGAACCACAGAGGGGTTCTTCCTCATGAGCAGCGTGCGCGGTCGCGGCGTCGTCGCGCAGCTCACTGACCCGCGTTTTTACTTAATTTAGTATGTCTCACGATAGTTATTATAAAAACACTAATTCAAACGCCTACATTCTGCCAGTAGTTATTATTCTACGCGGACGAAGTCGATGATAACAACTCACTATTTTTTACAGGTCCTACTATTACATGGCCGAGTCTCTCCGTACTGGAGGCTTCACTGGAAGACGGTGTGACAACCTGAATGCTGCCCTCGTCGGCAACTGCTCTGGATCTACTCTGAGGATGGGTGGAATCCGACCAAAGAACGGGTAAGAGTGTTTTTTAAACCGTCATTATAGACACAATTAAAGAACAATAGGTGTGCGGACACCGGTGTCCTCGCGGTGTTTGACAGTTTAAGGGATCAAATGATATTGATAATGTGTTTAATTCTTTCTTATATACCTATATATGTATATTATGGGCCGAAGTTTGCCCACTATCTCGCCTGGTGGTAAGCGATGTACATACATAGAACATTTTATACGTAGTAATGACGTTTTAGCCCCCACTCCTAATCATTGATTAATTTTATCTAAGTATTGTTTTATTATACGACAAAATTGGAAAATACGTGTCTAATATTTTATCATTACCTAACTGACGAACTAATTATGTTTTTAATTTTCATACCCTGTCATCTTTCCAATTCATGATTTGTTTTTTTTTCTTTGATACAGAAACACCGGTATCTACCATCTAACTACCAACGCTTTGCACCCGTACTCTCGAGGATAAATCTGAAAACAATATTTCAGATACTGTAAAAATATTTTCAGCGAACAACACAACACACCTAGTCTTTTTCTTTCTTTAAAATACTGTTAAAAATAATATAATAAATAAAAATGTTTATTTCTTATTAAAATGTTCATGATTTTTTTATTTCCTAATTTAATTGTACCTGGACATATCCCTGAACTACATCCAGCCTCTTCAAGGTGGCAAGCAGAATCCTTATCAATCTATGATGTCTACCTAGAGGTACAAAATATATCCATTTTTACGGCATAAGCCGGCAAACGAGCAGACGTATAACCTGATGGTAAGCAATCGGCGTCGCCCATGGATACTTGGAACACCAGAGACGTTACAAGTGCGTTACCGGCTTTTTGGGAATTGAGAGTTTGAGGATCGTTGAGGGATTCAGGGATTGGGGAAGGGGAGGGGGTAATTGGGCCTCCGGTAACCTCACTCACACGACGAAGCACAACGCAAGCGTTGCTTTACGTCGGTTTTCTGCTCGGCCGTGGTATCACTCCGGTCGAGCCGGGTCATTCGTGCCGAAGCATGGACCTTCGACACTTAAGAAACTACAAAAGTGGTATACCTACATATCTACTGGTCCTACAAAGCAGCTAGCGTGATATGCGCGACTTCCCGCACGTATTCGCAATAAAGTGCCGTATAAAACGTCTTTAGAATTGTAGTCTCACACCGCTGTACACAGGGTGTTGCGATATTTGTATATATTGCGATATATTTTATACTAGCTTCTGCCCGCGACTTCGTACGCGTAGCATCCCATTTTTAAAGTATCCTATGTTGGTCTCCTGGCTCTAAGCTACCTCCCTACCAATTTTCAGCCAAATCTATTCTGCCGTTCTTGAGTTATAAGTGGTGTAACTCATACGACTTTCTTTTATATATATAAGATTTAATTTTTATTTTTTGTATTTTTTTTTAATAAATAGCTTTTCTTTCTTTTTTCCTTGTTTTATATTAAATTATTTTATAAATTATATTTTAACTGCTTCAAGTGAAACAAGTGAATTTATTTCTACAAATAGGCTACAAGGTAGCACTTTTACACGTCAATTTTATCAAGCGAACGATGAGGTCGACATTTCCTAACTGACTACTCTGAGAAGAAATGCCGAAACAAACTCAGAGGTCTGTCTCTGTTAAAGTCCTTCGAGTGGTCGCTAGTGACTGCCGGGCAAGGAGTCTGGGGTTCGATTCCCGGTACGGGCAGAGTATTTTATTTATTTATTTCTCCTTCACAAAAGTTAATAGTAAATGGTGGACTTAATACCTTATGGCATCATTATCATTCAGTATTACTGGATTTTAAAAAAAAATCTCAGTAGTAGCACGGAATCTGGAATTGTGCCCGGTATATGGCAATAGGCTCACTCCCTATTACATGGGACTCATAACGTAAAAATAGTGAAAAGTGGGTGTTACTTCTGTGTGCACCTCTGCCTACCCCTTCGGGGATAAAAGGCGTGATGTTATGTTATGAAATAAATAAATAAAAATAACTTCAAACAATGACAAAATTTCCATTAATAAAAAACAATACTACCAAAAAAATATCACCCTTACAGTGCGTCACACAGGTGCATAACCACCCTTTATAGTGCCGCGAATTACGTGCCCCGCATATATACAGCGTGTTACCAAGATATAAATGTTCAAATACACACCCTGTAAGTGGTTATAAGTTACCAAGAGATTGTGAAGATGACTTAAAGAAAGAAATATGGCGTCTTTGGTCGAGTTAGATGTTAGGTTCGATTCGCGGGGTGGGTAAAGTGTTTTTGAATTGAATGGTTAGTTACTATAGCTGTTGCCCGCGACTTTGTCCGCGTAGAATATGATTTCTGTTTTATCCCATGGGAGCATTTAATCGAGACAAAATCCTATCACCTAAGTCAGCCCACACCCTGCCTGTATACCAAATTTCATCAAAATCCGTTCAGTAGTTTCAGCGTGATCGACGGACAAACATACAAACTAAATTAAATTGTTTTATGGCATAAGCCGGTAAACGAGCAGACGGATCACCTGATGGCAAGCAATCGGCGTCGGCCATGGACACCCGAAACACCAGAGGCGTTACAAGTGCATTACATGCCTTTCAAGAATTAGGAATTTGAGGATTATTGGGGATTCGGGGATTAGGGTCATTGGGGAGAGGCGTAATTGAGCCTCCGATAACCTCACTCACACGACAAAACACAAAGCAATCGTTGTTTCACGTCGATTTTCTGCTCGGCCGTGGTATCACTCCGGTCGAGCCGACCCATTCGTGCCGAAGCATGGCTCTCCCACACTTGAACCAGTACTTAATCCAAGACATATTTAAGTTAAGTGAATACCGATGTAAAGTTAAGCTAAGTAACTGATTTATGTGTTCTTCCCTGCGGGTACCCTACAGGGTAAGAATGTTACGTCTTTAATACTGCCCCGTTGGTCGGATAGACGTTTAGGGAACAGAGAGTATAGTTCCCTAAGATCGGAAAAGGAGGATCCTCCGACCAGGCGAGGTGATCGTGCCTGGCGGGCTTTCATAATTAAAAATACCTATGTTTTAATTTTTTTTGTTTTTACTTTATACGTCGAAAGGCAAATTTGTGTTTTACCTAATTACGCACAATAGGGTAGATGACTAATTTTTATTTTAATGTCCGTCTGATAGATTATTTAAAAACATTAGACACGTATTTTTTATTTTCCCACAGAAACGAATAGTTTCGAAGATATATTGATTTGAAATGTCGCGTGACGTCACTTCTCAGTACATTTTATACTAAGAAATGACGTTTTAGCCCCCACTCCTAAACTTTGATTCGTTTTATCTAAGTATTGTTTTATTATACGACAAAATAAAAAAATACGTGTCTAATAATTTTTCATTAGGTACCTAACTTACGGACTAATTATATTTTTAATTTTCATACCCTGTCATCATCCCCATTGGCTATGCGCGCGACGGTGGCGACGCGTAGCGTTTACAGCATTTGCGGAAGCTGTCAAATAATAACAATGTAAACATTATAATTTTCTTTGCAAATGTAAATGAAACCAAAAATTAAAATAGTATTGTTGACATTATTTAAGTGTAATTTATTCAATAGTTTTACTATAAAATGAATCCTTACTAATATTATAAATCTGACAGTTTGTTTGTTTGTTTGTTTGTTTGTTCCACCTTCACGCCGTAACTACTCAACCGATTGCTTTGATTTTTTGCTGACGTAAAATTAGAAGTCCGGATTAAAATTAATAGGGTAATTTTTAACCCGGAAAAATTGATATTCTCGAGGAAAAACAAAAGTATTGGTATAGATGGCGCTGTGTGTATTGGTATATCTCACATAGGCTACGTTTTATGCTTTTGTGACGCGAGCGAAGCCGCGGGTAAAAAATAGTATAATAATAAAAACCGGGTTTGCATCATCCGCATTTGTTTCCAATTTCTGCCGTGTTGTGCGCTGCGATCGTTATCTGTCCGCCACTACCTACTCGCATTGCACATAGCCAATACATACATAACCTCACGCCTGTCTCCCATGCGAATAGGCAAAGGCTATGGAACGCCAATTGCTACGATTCTTACACATCTCTTTTGCTTAATTCATTTCTTTCCATGTCAAAAAAGAAAAATATGTAATAAGCAATAAATTTCGTATTATTATTATTTTATTCATAGTAAGTTTCACGGTACAGTACGCACCCCTCATATTTTTATGAACACGACTACAGATCAAGGTATGCGGTACCAGTATAAATTGACCTTTCCAATGTATGGAAAGATCTTCTAAAGCGTCCCCGTAGAACGAACCATGATACACTGGTTTTATAGTGCAATACGTGTACCAGGTTCGTTTGGGGAAAAAACCAGTATAAACTGACCTTTCTAATGTATGCAATGATCTTCTAAAGCTAGACCATGATATACTGGTTGTTGTAGCTCGCTGCGTATACCAGCTTCGTTTGGGGAGAACACCAGTATAAATTGAACTTTCCAATGTATGGAAAGATCTTGTAAAGCTAGACCAAGACACACTGGATTTAATAGCGCGATGCGTCCACAAGCTTCGTTTGGGGAGACAACCAGTATAAATTAACCGCCCAATGTATGGAAAGATCTTATAAAACTAGACCATGATATACTGGTTTTAGTGGCTCGCTGCGTCTACAAGCTTCGTTAAGGGAAATCACCAATATAAGCTGACCTTCCAATGTATGCAAAAATCTTCTAAAGGTAGACCATGATACACTGGATATTGTAGCGCGATGCGTGTACCAGCTTCGTTTGGGGAGACAACCAGTATAAATTGACCGTCGATTGTATGGAAATATCTTCTAAATGTAGACCATGATATACTGGTTTTAGCGCGATGCGTGTACCAGCTGCGTTTAGGAAACAACCAGTATAAATTGACCGCCCAATGTATGGAAAGATCTTCTATAGGTAGACCATTATAAAGTGGTTTATGTAGGTGTGTGTGTAGTGTTTACGGCGTACGCACCCCTCATATTTTATTGTATTGAATTTCATTATAAGGCATAACTCAGTGTGAAAGGAGTTGTGATGATAAATGTTGCTGTTGAGTCAGCTTGGGTTCGATTACTGAGTCGAGTTACTGTTTATACATCGCCAATCTGGAATTGTCTCATAAATGTTTTAACATAACTGCCTCGTTGGCCGAGTGGTCGCAAGTCGCAAGTGCGACTGCCGGGCAAGGGGTCTCGGGTTCGATTCCCGGGTCGGGCAAAGTATTACTGGGTTTTTTTAAATTTTCAGTAGTAGCACGGAGTCTGGAATTGTGCCCGGTATATGGCAATAGGCTCACCCCCTATTACATGGGACTCGTAACATACCTTAAATAGTGAAAAGTGGGTGTTACATTGTACAGTGGCATAATGTAGGTACACCTCTTCTGCCTTCGGGGATAAAAGGCGTGATGTTATGTTATATATTGAACAATCGAATTAATTTATTTTTG